TGTCATGACCCAAAAATCACACCTGTCATGATGGCACCTATCCCGATACTAGGCAAGCCGACAACATCAATAACCCACAATTTCTTTTAAATATTGGAAACATAATAATTAATATAAGGGAAAAGTCCCACCAATACTGAATATAATTTACTCCCAAAACTCGGTGTCACTGAGTACATGAGCATCTATATATTACAAGTCTGGAAAACACGATCTATAATAGTCTAAGACCAAATACAGTAAACAAAAGGATATGGAAGGAGAGACAAGGTCTGCGAAATATGAGAGCTACCTCGGAATCTCCAAAAAATTGACTATGTGAAATAATCAACACCCACTGTATTCGGGATCACTTGGATCTGCACACGAATTGCAGGGTGTAGTATGAGTACAACCAACTCAGTAAGTAACAATAATAAATAAAGAACTGAAAGTAGTGACGAGCTTCTTAGCTAAGTCCAATTACAGTACTTTCCAACATAAAAGGATAGGCGTGCTTTCAAGTTCAACATTTAAAACTCCACAGTAATTTCATATCAACTTTGACTGAAACAGAAGAGAATGTCTTTTAGAAATTTTTCCAAATCAGTGATATATGACAGCTGAAATGAAGCAATAATTAAATCAATGCATCCTCTAAGAGCAACAGTCACTCAGTACTCCCATTCCCTCCAACCTCACAAACATTCTTTCCTCACAGTCACTATTTCCTCAAAGTCACTCATCACTCGGCAGTTGCAATTAGCACTCGCACTTGGTAGGTACTTGAGCTCACTGGGGTATGTACAGACTCCGAAGAGGCTCCTTCAGCCAAAGCGCTATATCAAGTCAATCATGGCATAAATCAATTAAACATGCTGCGACGTGCAGCCCGATCCATAAATATCCTCACAATTAGGCCCTCGGCCTCACTCAATCATTAACCTCTCCAGTTTCTCGGGCTCTCAGAAATCATGGTAAGCAGCCCAACAACAATGATATGATACATCAATAATGAATAAAAGAGACTGAGGTAAAAATGTGCAAATAGAACTGTGACTGAGTGCAAAACAGTAATTTAGCAAATAATTTCACAAATGCACGACCTCTGTGGGTCCCAATAGTGTAAACATATGATTTAAACATGATTCATAGATTAATTTCTCTAATATCAACAAATTTTTCAACTACACAGTTCCATGGAATTGACCAAGTCATAATTCCTATGGTGCACGCCCACACGCCCGTCACCTAGTATGTGCGTCACCTCAAAACCAATCACATAATACATATTCCGGGGTTTCATATCCTCAGGACCAAATTTAGAATTGTTACTTACCTCAAACCGTGAAATTCTTTATTCTGATATGCCCTTGCCATGAGAATTGGTCTCCAAAAGCCTCGTATCTAGCCACAATTAATTCGATTCAGTCAATACCAATTATTGTAGTTAATTCCATAAGGAAATACTAATTTTCCAATAAAAATTCAAAATTAACTCAAAAATTATCCGTGGGGTCCATGTATCGGAACCCAACCAAAGTTACAAAATATGAACGCACATTCAACCACGAGTCCAACCATATAAATTTCACCAAATTCCGACATTAACTCGACCCTCAAATCTTCAATTAAAATCTTTGAAGATTTCTACAATTTTCAACCCAATCTTTACCCATTTGAACTCAACAATCTTTCCATAAACCTTATTGATACGTATAAATAATACTCTTACACCCAAGAATTATACTCTTAATCATCCATCTTTACCCCCAAAATCAAAATTGAAGAATTGGGGGAAGAAATTCTTACCTCTTCGAAGCCCTAGCAAGATCCTTGTGAAATTTTCAAATCTTGAACAAGAATTGATGAACAATTGACTAAGTCTTCACTTTCTCTCTCTAGAACACTCTCCCTTCTCTCTAAATATATCAGATTTTTGCTCCAAAATTAGCTTCAAGGACTATAAATCGAAGTTGGATCAGGTCAAAAATTAGAAAGAATTGAAGCCCCGACGCAGATTTGCGATCGCATAATACGTATGCGGTCCGCAAACTAACTGCATAATTGAAGCTCCAAAACGAGGGTCACATGTTTAGGTCTGCGGTGATTATGCGGCACGCATACCTATTTTGCTTTCGCATAATGCACCGCATAACAGGTCTGTGGTCGCATAATGCACCACAGATTTCTCAAATCTTGCCTTACATCTGCTTCACTCTGCGGCCATTATGCAAATTTCTATAACCTTTGTATTAATTGATCTACCTCGGCACCACAAAACCTTAATTTTCTTAGCAAAAATTCTCTGGGGTCGTTACACATAAGTTCACATCCGGTCAAAATTTTCAACTTAAATTCTAAACCTTGGAACTAAGTGTTCCAAATTATTACAAAATCTCATCGGACCCGAACCAATTATCCACGGCAAGCCAAATAACAACTGTAAATCACAATTTGAGTAGTAAATGGGGGAGCGAGGTTGTAATATTCAAAATGACTGGCCGAGTCGTTACATTGACACTCATACCTAAGCCTTTTGTATCACTTTTATTAAGCACTATCTCTTTCTTATTTGCCATAGCATACAGTTTCAGACACTTCCTAACTTCGGGAATATCCTTAAAGCTCACATTTTTATCTAGTTCTTTGTAATCCATCAGCTGATCAGTTATACTCATACTCCTCTGAGTTAAAATAATGTCTAATTCATCAGAATCATACTCTGAAGAATCAGAGACAGGTTCATCATCAACCTCACTAGTTGAGCTACAATCAGTTACAGCCTCATGATCAAGTGCAGTATCATTAGGTTCATCCTCACCATAATGTAAAATATCAGGTTCATTCACTGCCAACTCACAATCCTCTACAACAAATATATCAACAAAATTATAATCACTACAAACCATTCCCAACAATTTCCTAATACCACTATCCTCATCAATTTCATAGTATCTACCAGAAGGAGCAGATACAATAACTTGTTGAACCCCACCAAATAATAATTTAGTGCAAAACTCATTAACAATATCTATAAAGGATAGATGGTCGGAGTCATAACCTTCTTAGGTGTGGAACAACTTCTTAGTGTATGTGACTTGTGGCTCTCTACTCCATTCCCCACCATAATTAAATATCAAGTCCAAATTAATCACAAGTAATCTGCAATCAATTGACATATTAAAAAATTAGCAGGTGAACCAGAAGATAAACTAAACAACATAACTAATCAATATTATAAAATACAGGCGGAAAGAAACAAATAAAAAATAGCAAAGCAACATTCAAAGAAACTAATAAAAAATAGTAAAGTAACATCCCTAGACAAAGGGCCATAACATGGTCCAAAACAATTACAAAGCACATTAAGACAACCCGAACCACCAAATCAGTCTTTATGACAATACAACCACATGCAATACAACAACTAATAAAGCTAAAACCTTTAAGACGAAATGAACTATTATACTATACATTCTGGACCACCATCACAAGCACATGCAAATACAATAACCCATAAAGTC